ACCCACATCGGTTGCGGTTTAAACAGTTGATCCCATTAGAACACTGTCTTAGATTGTATTCATTTTTCTTTCATTTTTATGAAATGCAAATGCTCCTATAAAGCCTCATTGTATTCACTCTCATCGGCTTCGCTCCGAAATAAACGTTGCATCAAAGAGGACACCGCGTCCAGAAATGAGGCGCCTACTCGGTTAATGTAAAGATGTCTTCTATACCGCTGAGCCCATTATATAAAGAATTTTCGCATAACTCATTTTCGCTTTGAAGGTAGACAATTCCATCTCTGACAACGGTTCGCTGCCCAATCACCCAAAAAGCTGTAATGACTAGTCCATTTCTTCTCCCCCTAAGAGCAGAAGTTGTGAATTTTATCGTATGCATGTTTAAAACAAACTGTCAAGATCATTTGGGTATCCACATTATTCCAATTGCGCACAATACATCTGAATACGCGACCAATATTTTTTATCTGATGATGAGCAGAAATAAAGAAAAGGCTTGATATCTCACTGTTCGTAAACAGTATGTTAAGCAACGTATTCAATGCGTATTAAACGCGTGAAATTGTATTTGAATTAGAAAGATCTGCTATTACCCGCCTTTGAAAGGGGAGGGATCCGGAATAACTGATGAGAGAACAGTTATGGCGATATACGCCATTCGATTCTTCTAAGAACTCGAAACTTTCTGGCTTTGTTCCAAATTTTTTCTATTTTTCGCTAGTGAAGGTCAGATTGTTGCGTTAGCCATGTTTATGAATCATACTGAATTGACCAATGCAAGAAGTGTTCGCAGTGAACCGTGTGGAGAGTTTGCATACTGATACTAAAGTGTGAAGGATTCAGTAACAACGGATCTTCCTATATTACTGCACGTACATCAATTTCGTGAATCACTGAATCTTTTTATTAGTGTCATATTAGAGTAAAGGTGTTATTCAGCGTAGAACAAATAAAATTATCAGAATCCCAATTGAGGAATCGAACTTCGGAGCTTAGTAGGAT